TCACAATGTCACACTCGCTGCCCCGACAGGCGCTGACCGCCAAGAGAACGCTTTGCGTTAGACCTGAGGGCGCGGGGAAGGCTTCCGCAATGGAATGATGGAACTGGGATTGTGGGTGTGGAGTTTGAACAGAAGTGCGTGATATCACAGGGTGGAAAACTTAAATTATTAAGAGATAACGTTTTAGAATACAGTAATATATAGTATCAAATATATTTAGAATATAGTGTATATGGAATGTATATTTTTATGTATCTATATGTAGGAAAGGCATTTTGTGCTGTTCTTGTGAGCCAGCGAAGGCTTCCTGAAGATAAGAAAAACCCCATGTCAAGGAAGACACCAAGGCTGTCCCCATGACAACGTGATGGAAGAGAGAAAGTTAAAAGAGATGGACACTAGCTGGCTCACAGAATGACGTGGCTCCTTGTTCACCTACTGAGAACTTTGTTTCTTATGACCAATGGGCAGTGAATGCATCTGTTAAGTAAATCTAAACATCTTGAAAAACTATAAAAGTAACACGTTGCTATAATAAATCTCTCTTATACACCTTTCTGATGGAGCGTTGGTGCTTTGCACCGTGCCGCGCTCTACAGCGACATCTATGTATTTAGAATATAGATGTAGTATTTACATTCTCTGAACATGATCTTTTTTGCTCAAGGTTTTTCTCTTGGGAAGCTGAAAGGCAGAGAGCAGCCTCAGAGAAAAGGAAAACAATTCTTATCTCATTTGCTTCTCCTGTGTTTGGCTTATGTGGAATGCGTTTGGAGATTGTTTCACTCAAGGTGATTGCTTGATTGGACTCCAACATAAGTTATTTTAACTCAGTGGCCAATTAGGGCCAAGCTGTGTCGGGACTCGGGAAGGAGTCCCAAATTTTCATTATTATTATCTTTTTAGCATTCAGTAAGTATCTGTTCTGTATTCTCTAGTATAGTATAGTATAGTATAGTATAGTATAGTATAGTATAGCATTCTTTAATATAATATAGTATAAGAAAGTAATAAATTAGCCTTCTAATAAGATAGAGTCAGATATATCATTCTCTCCCCTTGTCAGTGGGCCTAAATTTACAATATATAGTAATATATATAAAGCAAGATAGAAGTTTTAGGGTAGAAGCTAGTCCTCTTTCTTCACTTTCTTCTTCATGGGTTTGGGTGGTATTATGTAATTACACAAAACAGTGCACATAACAAACCACAAGTAGTTAGTTATTAAGTTAAAAATAAAAAATAAGTGAAGTATAATTTCTTAATTAGACAGTTTATCCTTAAAAAAACCTTATAAAAATACAACTCCATTTTTAATTTATTAAAATAAAATACTATAAAACTCATGCACCCACCCCTGTGAGCACCCCCAGCCCAACCCCATGGAACGAGGGTGTGAAAATGCCCAGCCACAGCCATGAGCTTGGGTTTGGGGGGACGTGCACCCCAAGCTGAGCTGTCCCCTCCCCACTCACGTTTGTCACAGTGCCTCCCTCGCCACCCCCTCTCGCAGTGGCAGGCTCCGGTCTGGGGGTGGCAGGAGCGGCCGTGGGCGCAGTCACAGCGCTCCTCGCAGCGCTCGCCGAAAAATCCCGGGGGGCAGCCTGGGGGCAAGCAGAGACAGCAACGTTCCACCTGCTGGGGCATTGATCTGCAAGGCTCAGGCCACAGAGTGCAGCAGCCAGGCTGCTTCTAGTTATTCTCATCAGCACCCTCAGGAGTTCATCAAGGTAACCTGTGGCATTCATGTTTTCTGGAAAAATCCCTTCACCCAGGATTTTTCTCCTGGGAAGTTGGGAAGCCTCAGAGAAAAAGGAAAACAGTAATTATCTGATTTGCTTCTCCTGTGTTTTGCTGCTTTGGAATGTGTTTGGAGATTGTTTACCCACAGGTGATTGTTTTATTCGCTTCTGTTGTGAGTTTTCACTCTTTGGCCAATCAGTGCCAAGCTGCATTGGAAAGAGTCACAAGTTTTCATTATTATCTTGTAAGCCTTCTATAAGTAACCTTTCTGTATTCTTTAGTATAGTTTAGTATGGCATTCTTTAATATAATATAGCATCATAAAATAATAAATTAGCCTTCTGAGAACATGGAGTCAGATTCATCACTCCTCCCTTAGGTGGGTCACCCCACAAATACAATAGTTACCAAGACATAAACTGTGCTAAATTAAGGAAGAAGAGGCTGAGAAACAGAATACCAAGACTGCAAGAACGAGATAAAACAGAGGGCTGTGAACCACCTGGACTGTAACCAATACTCTGAGAAGTGCATGCAGAACACATGGACAAGATAGTAGCACCAATCAAGAAGTGTGTAATTAGCATGTGCAGTAGTTTGTAGAATGTATAAATAGGGTATAATCTAAACAATAAATGGCTTCTGCTTAATCATATTGGTTAGTCCTACAGGAGTCCTGCTTCCTGCATCCTGCTGCCTGGGGAGCAGCTTCCACTGGCCACCAGCCAGGATCCTCCCTGCCTGAGCTCCTGCTCAGGAGGATATTTAGCAGATTGCATGGCCAGAAAATATCAGTGAAGATACTAAAAATATTAGAAGCATTTAATGCTGGCTGCTAGTGACTGTGCACAGGAAAGTTTGCAAAGAATGAGTCACAGCCTGGACTGCAAATCCAGACAGGTCCATGGAGAGGGTGATGCTGTTTGCTTTGACACAACTTTGCACACAGGGACAGATGTTTGAGCAGTGCAAACTGTGCCCATGAACTGCTAGCAGGCAGGGAACAGAGGCAGGAGGAGATAAAATGATTTCAACAAGAGCATGGTTGGAGAGAGACCTGCCTGTGGGTCTGAGATAGGGTGAGAGTGCACAAATCCTGAGTGGCCTGCAGGATACTGGAAATTTAAGATAAAAAAATAGAAAACTGGCAGAAATGGCTGATGGTTCAAATGAAGGATGTGCAGAAGGAGCTGCCCTTACCAACATCACAGCGGTCCCCAGTCCAGCCAGCGTGGCAGAGGCACTTCCCTGAGGGCAGGTCACACACCCCATGGTGGCAGCTGCAGTTCTGCTCACAGCCCTCTCCAAACTGCCCGTTCCCACACTCTGAAATGGGATGGGGAGGATGATGAGGGTGAGGCTGCAGCAACCTCAGCAGGAACTCCCTCATGCCTCTGCAATATGATGAACCACCTAAACTGGGCTTAAAAACCTTCAGTGAAGGAAACTTTGAAGCCTCCTTTAGGAAAATTCTCTAGAAATACACCACTTTCCTCTTTAAGCATTTCTTTCCTTCTTTCTCCTTCAATGGAGCTCATTACCTGTCTTCCCTGTTCCCAAGGGACAAAGAATAGATAACTTCTCTCCTCTGCCAGCAAATTGCCAGCACCATGGATATGTTCAAGTTCCAATATCATGTCTCATTTCTGACTAAACAACCCCATTTTTTTTTTAACTTCTCCCCACCTGCTGTTTTCCATCCTTTTTCCTCTCGGTCATCTCAAACCAGACCCCGGCACAACTGAACTTCTTTCCAGAGTGACTGAACCGAGGTGCTGGAGGGCTGGAGGGGGTGGTGGCACTCACCCAGCTCGCAGGCTGTCCCTGTCCAGCCCTGGGGACACTGGCACTGGCCGCTCCCAGGGTCACAGGTGGCCTGGCCGTGGCACAGGCAGCGCTGCAGGCAGTTTGCTCCGTACCACCCTGGGGGACAGGCTGCAAGGGGAGACAGGGAAAACCTTCCATCAGGAGGTGCAGGAGAAGGACACAGGTTCAACACCACCCCTCCCACCTTCTGGAAGGTGCTGTGGGAGGTACAACCAAGCAGAAATGGGAAGACAACCAGTAAGGAATTGCTCTGGTCATTGTAATGCTGGTCTCGGAACAAAGTAGGTGATGAAGTGAATTAGTGATTCACCAAATAACCTTGAGACTTTCTGTTTGTACCTACAAAACCCATTTTTTTGTCCCTTCCAGCTTTCTCAACACTGGGCAGTGCAGCGCCTGATTTCCCTGTCCTCAGAATTTCTTTGTACAGTCCTCCTACAATCACAGCTCCTTCTCTAACTGATCCTGCTGTCCACAGCTGGCTGATGACATTTCATCATTTACCTAATTTTAATTAGAGAAGTCTATGAATTCCTATCACAACCAGTTCTATGGACAGAACATAATTTTCTGGAAAAACACCAAAAAACAGCTCTGCCATATGCTAGAGTGACACCTCTTTAAGACAGAAACAGGGACAAGATCTGCCTTTGGAAAAGCACAGGCACCAGTGGATGGCTCCTCAAGTCTCACATAATTATTCTACCTCCTCACTTCAAAGAGAAAAGAAATCTCCATACGTGTATTTGAAGAGAAAAGGTGTATTTGAAACAGCTTTTGTAACTTTCATTTTGGTTTTGTATTTGTGGCCTTCGGACAAAACAAAAATTTAGGTACATGTCATCAAGCACAGCTTTGTGTCTTCCCAATTTTTAAATCCTTCGTGGAAGGATTTAAAAATTCACATCAAGTTTTTAAAGGGGAATGTGCTAAATTTAAATATCACTCTACCCCTGCCAGCTCTCATCCCCTTTCCCTGGCAGTCCTCTTGGGATGCTGAAGGGCAGAGGTTGAGAGGAGGTGCTGACTCCAAAACCCTGCTCACCCAGGAGCACCCACAGCAGCATTCCCAGCTCCATGGTACTGCTGCCAGCCCAGGGACCTCATGGGGAAGGCACAGAACAAGGAGTTCCTGCAATGGGGATGGACAGATTTTCCTACTGCCTGGATGCATGGATTAGGATGTGCAGTGCAAGCCACAGTGCAGCCTTTCTTTGCCAGCCTCTTCTTAAGGCTCTGTGGAGCTGGGCTTGTGCTTAAGCCTCATGTATGGCTCTGATTGCCAAGGCTGGAAGGCTCAATGCCTTTCACATGTTCTGGATTTAGGCTCTGTCTGGAACAGCAAAAGGTAATGCCGAGGATCAGTCTGGTGCATGAGACAGCAAAGCAGCCCAGAGAAAAGAAACAGAGCTTCATTTCAGCATCATAATTGGGAGTTTTATGGACCTTTCCTCCCTTCATCAGCCTTCCAAATCAGCTCTCTTTCCATTTTATGGCTGTTTCACCCCTCTGCCCTGAGCACTCTGGGATCCTACAACACAGTGCCACGGATTAATTTAATGGACCAATTCACGTCACCGCAGATCCAAACCCAACCACAACACAGGGCAACGAGCTGAGAGCTAAAATACCAGTGGGCTTTCCCCAAACACAGGTTTTATTTTCCCCCCCTAAAATCCAGAGGCAGGGGTTTGAATTTCCAACTGTACCTTCTTGGCAGGTGGCTCCTTTCCAGCCCGGGCCACAGAGGCACGTCCCGGTTTCGTGGTGACAGAGAGCTCCATTGTGACACTGACAAGTGCTCCTGCAGCCTGGCCCATAGCTGTTCCCCTGACAGGCTGCAATGACAGAATTCCATAAAACCCCATCAGGAAGTGTCCAAGGAAGCACAGAGCACAACCCAGTGCCAGGGAAATCAGGTTGGAGCTGTGCTCCAGTGACACTTTTCACTTCATAAGGTGCCTAAGTCCATATAAAATCATAGAATATTAAGGTTGGGAAAGATCTTCGAGATCATCAGTCCAACCTTTGGTCAAATACCATTATGATCCTTAAACCAAATGACAAAGTTCTGTGTCTACATGCTTTTTGAACACCTCAAGGAATGGTGACTTCACTGTTCCTGGAAATACATATTTATATTTAAATCCCCATATATTAACCATGTCTGACTCTAGAAACAATAATAGAATAATTTAGGTTTGAAAAGACCTTTAAGATCACCAAGTTCTACTGTTAACTCAGCACTGCTAAGTCCACAATAGCAGCCAACACATAAACTGCAAAAGGCATTTAAAAAAATGTTCTGCAAATTAAGGTCACATAAACTGAAACTGCTCTGCAACACGCTGCAGTTTAGAGATAATGTGTCTTATGAAAGTCTAACCTAATAATGTGGGTTAAAAATATGAATCAGAGCTCATTCTGGAGAGATTTCTATGGAGGGGCTGGATCACTGGGGGTGATGGATCAGCTGTCATCCCCTGCTCTGCAGAACGTCTTTGTGCTAAACTAATGGTCCAGCAGAACTGCCAGCCTGACAGAGCCCGTATTTATTTGCATCCTGGTCAGAGAACTGACAACTTCATTGTTTTCAGTGTTCATTTTTCACAGCTGGGTGCCTGTGCTCAGCCAGACTCTCATTCTTTGGTCAGAGAGGGGTGATATTTTCAATGAGTTTGGTTAAGCAGCTGGCTCCCAGGTGAAAACTTAATGCAGTCATCTGGTAAGCAAACGCTCTGTTTTCAGTGCTGCTGCCTGTGAAAAATGGCAGTGATAAAATTCCCGCAGTCTCCACTGCACTGGAGATTGGGATAGCTTTGGATGGTGGAGAACAGACAGTTCTGCTACCCTGTTTCCTTCAGATATCACCCAAAATAATACAAAGGGGGTTGATGGAGCTGGATCGCCTCCTTGCACAGTTTCTGTTCTGCATTGCAGGGGCTCCTGTCAGAGCCTCTCATCCCTGCAGCACCTCTGGCATGCACTGGGGAGGCAAACAGCCTGGATCCCTGATCCAGGAGAGTGTCCTGCACTCGCTGAACGTGACATCTTCCAGGTTTCACAGCCAAACAGTGAATTTTCACCCAAACTTCTCTGCCTTTCAGGGTGTCAGTGAACACAATGCAGTGCTGTGGGAGAGCAAGTCCCTGGTGACAGAAGGGAGCTGTGAAACCACCTTGATCTTGGAGGTGAGCTTGGTTGACAGCCTCTGACCCATTCTCAGCCCTTTTCTCCTCATTTGAGAAAGGCTTCCAGCTTCCCAGCCTGGTTCTCAGACACCATTTCTCCCTGGACTTCTTTTCTACACTGCTCGTTCTTGTCATCACTTGGACCCCATCCATGCTGAAACCACAAGAAAGAGCAGGAGCTCAATCCCATCACAGCTAAAAGTTTGTTCTGCAAATGAAGCTTCATTGCCAAGTGAAAAGTTCAGCACATCTACAGAGCTCTGGCTCGGGTTTTGGGAGCAGAACTAAATATTTCCACAATACAGACCAGAACTATAGCACAACCAAGCCAAAGGAAAAACCAGCTCATCACCAGATCCCTTGACTGGTTACCAGTGGTTTGTGGGAGGTTTTTTGGAGTATGTGTGCAAAGCTCTTGTTACACTTACCAAAAAGACAATAGGGTGTTTCTGTGAAAATTCTGGTAAGAACGCAGAAATTTGTGGAGAAGAAAATTTTAACTATTCTACTGTGTAGACACAAATGCTGTTTAGCTTCCTGGTGGGACAATCCTGATTTTCAAAGTACTTTTCTGAAGATTTAGGGAAAAAGGGATATACTGAAGCTGTTTCATGGAGTTACACAACTGAATGTACAAATATCCCTGGGGCTCTTCTTTCTTCATGATGAGAGAAAAGACATAACTTAATCCAAAGGTTTAAATTAGTAGACTTCCTCCTGGTTCAAAATTTTCCTCTTAGTGTCTTTCCTCTGAAAGAGGAGGATTTATTTTTTTGCAGTTTTTAAAATCCTTCTTCCATGCAGAGTGAGAAACACATGAAACTGGAGACTTTTCTTCCAGTCTGGAAGTCAACAGCCATCAAAACTGCCCAGGAGAAAAGGAAAATGATGGGCTCTAATGTTCTATAGGGTGTCCAATAGCTTGGATTTCAAGTGACTTTAATGGATTATTCTCCACAAAATGAAGCTTTAGCTTTAAAAGAACAGGGAATCTGCAAATTCAAGTGCTCAAACACCATGAAATGTCAAACCCCTGTTATCAGTGCCTCTGGCTGAGCACATTTTTCTGTAGTTATTTGTTTTTCAAACCAGTGTGATCTCTTTTTTACCACAAGGAGCCACTTCAGTCAAGATTCTGCTGAGCTCCAACAGCTCCAGAAAGAGGCATGTTTAGTACTGACAGAATTAAGGCAAAATTCAGATGTTGAATTGTGTACATCTGCTACAGACCATATGCAGCATGAGAGTTTTGGAGGGTTTGGTTGGCTTTTTTCAAGTTTGCAAACTTTGGATGAATTTGCAGTGAATCAGAATGGTTTGGGTTGGAAGGGGCTCTAAAGATCATCAATTTCCAAGCCCTCTATCAAGAAAAAGAATACCCTGAAATGATCAGGTTGTTCCTTCCATCTAACCTGGCCTTGAACACTTCCTGGGATGGGGTATTCAGAAAGGAAGGTTACATCACTATCACAAAGAAATGCCAAACGTCTGGTCAAAAACAAAAACCAAAATCAAACCAAACCAAACCAACAAAACAAAACCAAAACAAACAAAGCAAAAACAAACAAACAAAAACAAACAAACAAACAAGAAAAAAAAAGAGAGAGAGAACAGGCAACATACTTTTCCTAAGCCTCTTTCTTGGAAACCTAAAATACCTCAGGTGGACACTCCAAAAGATCCCCAAATAAAATCTCCAAGCACAAACTGAAGCTGAGGCAGAGCTTGCTTGGCAGATTTCAGCCCAGATTAACATAATTCATTTTCAAACAACTGAAACCCAGGGTCTGGTAATGGAAAGCATTAGGCAGCTTCAACAAAAGGCATCACTGTCCGTACTGCCTGTAATTAGATAGCAGAGTATAAAACTCACTGCATGGCTGGCTTAGGATCAATTCAAATCCCATGATGCCAAAATTATTCCTCAATATCCTCCAGCACATTGCCTGCAATCTGATTACTTCCACACGAGTCTGTCCTTCCAGCTGCTGGAGCTGGTGGGTCCCAGGAACAGGCAAGGTGAATATTAAACACCCTGGGAGGATGGGGAGGGCTGAGCTGCCTTGCTCTGAGCAGCTCTGGAGCAGCACGGATGTAAAATCAAAGTGAAGATCCCTCACTTGGCCAAGAGGAAAGGAGGAGACAGCCTGAACTGTGAGCTGACCTCTCACTCCTGGAGGCCTTGGGGGCTTTGGCCGTAGGAGGAATAAATCAGCCCAGCACAAAGCTCTAATGGCTCTGGCACAAGACAATAAATAGGGTTCCTTCCCCAATGTGAGCAGAGCAGGGCACCAGAGGCCATGGAGAAGGAGCTGCAACTCTTAATTGAATTGAATGAAATACACAGCAAAGCTTCCCATCCCTAATGCTAAGGATCGGGGAAGGGGCAAGGTGACACATTGCCCATGCTGTGGCAGGAAAAACAGGCTGTGACCAAGGAGCAAATATTGCACCTGTTCAGCAGCACCTCTTCTGACCTGTGGGATGGGAAAGTGGCTATGGGCTCCTTCTGTTCTGTGCTCACTCCACTAATCCACACCCAAAGGCTGTGCTGCCACCAGCATCTTCAGGTGGCGGCAGGTGGAGAGCCAAGTGCTCCTCTGGGACAGCATGAGGAGGCAAAAACCTGCAGTGGTGGGATGTAAGGAAAAGTGTCTAAAATGGGGAAGATTCAGCAGAACTGACCCACCTGTAAACAACAGAGCAGAGGATTTTGCAGGAGAAGATAGGCTGTGTTGAGTGGTGAGGGGAAATATTATGAAGAGCAAGCACTGCCCTCAGACAGGGCTGATGATAAAATAGTGTATGGCTGAAGAACAGCACTGCCTCAATACAAGCAACATTTCTCTCTATTTTCTAAAGTAAACCACTTTTCTATTGCAGAAAGCCATGACCTGTGGATTAAAGAAGTGTTCCCTCCCAGAGCTGGCACGCTGTGCAGCTGCCCTGGAGCCCAGCTCTGCACCCCAGTCCTGCAGACAGCACTCATATTTTCAAAAGGAAGCTTAGACCATGACATCATCCTAAAGGAAAACAAGGAAGCTGAGAAGCTAAAACCTGAAAATCTTTAAAAAGCCCACTTATTTGTTAAACTTTGCAAATAGGCTCAGTGATCTCCACATGTAATACCATGCAGCTAAAGAAAATTACCTAATTTCCCATGAAATGCAATGAAAAATTTCTCAGAATAGCCAATTTGATACATGTATACATACAAGCACTTTGTTAGCTTAAAAGCTGTGGGATAATCCACACTTTTGAACACATAGGAAGCTGAAATTTATTTTAAAACAAATAACTTCCCTAGTAATTATTAAAAACCTATTTTGTCACACTCAAATAACAAAATAGTCCCAGGTCTGATTTTTCCACTTTGCACATTTTGTAATCTGACACTTTATAATTGATAATTAGATGAGATACACCAGAAACAGACACACAACATTTAATCTCTTAATGTCACACAAAAATAAAGCAGGGAGCTGTCATATGGCAGGAGACAGCTCTGCTATTTAAAACCTGATGCTTATAATGTTTGATGAGTTAAAAAAACAAACTATTAGAAAGAGCTGGTGATTTAACACAGCCACCAAAAATTGCTCCTTTTTTGGGCATATTTGGGAAGGGAGGTGAGCTGTCTGGAAGAGTGTCCTGCAGGGCACTGTCCCATTCCCAGAGGAGGTTTGGGGTGATTCTGCTCTGTACTCACGCTGCTCGCAGCTCTCCCCCAGCCAGCCTGGCAGGCAGTGGCATGAGCCCAGCACGTGGTCACAGCCAGCAGCATTCTTGCACTTGCACACCTGGTGGCAGTCAATCCCAAAGAATCCGTCTGGACAAGCTGGAAATGCAAAACATTCCTTTTTAGCACAGTTTTTCTGCACAAATTCCACCTTGTCTTTTCACGGATGCTTAAGAAGCGAAGTGGCACCAAGGGTTAAGCCTGCCCAGTTCTGCTACAGTGCTACAGTACATCTTGGAAAAACGTGACCCCTTTACACAAGCAACAGATTCCTGCACAGGGAAACAGGGCTGAGAATATTGAAAAGCCATAAAACAAGTGAGAGAACGGAGCTGGGTTCACACAAGCTGTTCCTTGTGCCTCTGTAATGGACAGAGGAAATAATTCAACATAACACCGGACTCCAGGACCATCCCTGCTGACCTCCCTCCCTTTGGAAATCTGAAACTTCTGCTCCCATTTACTGTCCTGACACTTTTCTAAAGATTCTTTAACAGTGAACCTAAGGTACAGTGGTGCAGTTCGGTGCTGGAATGAAAAACCGGCAAAGTGAATGAGCAGAGAAAACCAAGACAAATTAAATGTAGCAAAACAACCCTAGGGAGCTGAAGGAGCTCTGCACCTTCATCTGGAACTGAACCTGGACTAAGGAAGAGCAGCCCCCTGGATTCAATTTTTATCTGTACCAGTGCTGACAGCAGTAAACATAAGGATCAGAGCTTGTCAGTGGGCCACATCATACCCCAAATGCTGCATTACAAGAACAATAAGGCTGCTATGCAGAGTTTAAAAATATATTCTCCATTTAGCCTTAATTTAACTTCTCTGTGTGTGTTTAGATTATATAAGTGCATATATTATGTCACACAGTACAGTATCTTATGTTACACTAAGTAATAACATCTATAGATACACAACTGCACATCATTCTTTCCACAGAATCCCTGAATCAACCTCAGGAGTGATGGTGCTCACAAAATAAGCAGTAATTCAGTAAAATAAGCAGTAAATTCAGTAAATAAACAGTAAATTCAGTAAAATAAGCAGTAAATTCAGTAAATAAGCAGTAGTTCAGTAAAACTTGTCTCTTTGTCCTCCTGGTTCAATATAAACTCTTATTTAAAATCCAGTTCTCACACTTCTACCATGAAATCAGAATGACTGGATTCCCAGGAGAATCTTACAATGATTACCACCATCTACACTGACCAACAGCCCTCCACACTAATTCACAGCCCTCTACCAGGTCAGAGTAACACTGGTGTCATCCAAGAATGGTTTAGGTTGAAAGGGATCTTAAAGATCATCTGTCATCAACATCCCTGCCACGGGCAGGGACACCTTCCACTGCTGCTCCAGCCCCATCCAACCTGGCCTTGCACATTCCCAGTGAGCTCTCCCTGTACATCTTCCACTGTTGGACTCTTCTGTCCCTTTTTTTGCCACTCACATACAGAAGCTGGCTGGTGGCACCGCTAGCAGCATCCACCAAAAATGATTCATTTTCCTCTGGTAATGCGAGACCTTGTGAAGGAACAGACATTATTTCATCAGTGTTCTGCTTGTATCACTTGCGGCTTTCAAGAAAATTCAAAGGAAGCCTTTCCTAGATTGCTCTCACAGACTGAAATAATTTCTTTGTAGATTATTTTGTTTTCAGCCTTATTTGCAATCGTTACTCGCTCTGCAACTGAAACAGTTTTGCTGCTTTTGAAACTCCTTTGAAAGAGTCACAAGATTCACAAGGTTCATTTTCACAAAGCACTGAGCAGAGCTGAAAGATGGAGCAGGCATGTAGCACCTTCAGAAATGTCTAATTTTCTTTCACAGAGTGTCTTGATAGCTTTATTCTTCCCCATCATTATCACATGTGACCACAGCACAACTGCAGAGGCAGCAGCACCACGGAGTGGTACCAGATGAAGAGCAGCTGATCAAAGGTGACTCAGGGCAGAGCAGAACTGAGGTGCTGATGGACAGACAAAAGTACTTTGAAGAGTGTGAGGTCTTTTGTCAGCATCCTGTGGCTCCGAGCACAGAAGTTCAGTCAGCTCCTGAATAATTCACAGCAAGGTCTCATGAAACAGCAACCCTGGAGCAAAAGTGTCTCCTGCTATGAGTGAGCTTGGAAACTGTCCTGTGCTGCTGGGTGGTGATGATGATGATGGTGTGGGTTTGGCTGTTATCTGTATTACTGACAGATTATATAGATAGATTGAGACTCACCAAGGACTAAGAATACATTAACAATTCTAATAAATATTAATAAGAGGTGATGGAAATTTGCGGTAAATAAGCTTGGAAATGGTCACTAAAGTGGTGTTTCGCAACAGAGTAGCTAAACCTATGAATTCATACTGAGGGCAGCAAATTAATGAAAAGGAACAGCAGCTTCCCACAAAAATGGGAAGAAACTTTCCCAAATGAAAATCAAAAATCCAAAGGCAAATTGTGGGATTTCTGCAGTCAGCTTGAATCCAGATCCCGTGCTGCCACAATGCAAAATTCCGAAAGCAACGACTGCAGGTTCAAATACCCTTGCTGTGCAGGGCTGATATTAATTATTAATATCAACCAAAATCCCATTTTGTAAGGGACTGTCTTCTCCCAGGACTTTGAACTTAGAAGGGTGCAAAAGCCTGAGTTTCAACATTTCTGTGATGACGGAGCAGTCCTTCCCAGCCACGGGCTGAGGCACCAGCAGGATGTGTGAAGTCCAAGGCAGCCAGGGCTCGATGTGAATTTCTGCCTGCAAGGCACAGAGCCTGGCCAACGTGGGTGGATTGCCAAGAGGACGGCAAAAAGCACATCCCTGCCAGAAGGAAACCCTGCCAGTCTCCCAGTCACTCCAAACAGAAGCGCTGCAGCTCCTCCCAGAGAAGGTGCCAAGAAGGTTCTACCAAGGGCAAACCACCCACATGTTCTCCTCCCTCGGCGCCTTTTGGAAGCTGCCAAACTGTTCTGGTTGAAACTTCCTAAGTTAAGAGGTAACCCGGGTCAGCTGAGAGCAAACACTCTGCCTTCCTGAGGAAAAACACGTGGAAAACAGTGTTTTACAGAGCCCTAAATTTCACTCTCCCCTCCACAATCTTCTTTCAGGAATTAAAAAAACAGACAAAAATGTCCAACATTACTGATTTGGAAGCTGAGATTTGTTCCTTTTTTTCCCACCAATAGAATCCCCCAGTTTTCCCCATATTGCTCACACCTATTCTGGCAAAGACTGTTTAGCCTCTTTGTTCCCATCATAATTCCTGTTGGAATGAAGAGATTTACACAACAACACAGATAACTGCCTTGTTTTTTTCCAATAAAAATACAATAACTTAAAAAAACCCAGTAGATTTGGGTAAACAGATTTCAGCTAAACTGTATTAAAAAGGGACATAGTGAAGACACCATAAATTATGAGATGCAATTTGCAGCAGAACCTTGGAAAGAATTTTTTTTTTTTATCATAGTCCCTGGTAAGAAAGAGAGGGAAACAACAATAAGGAATATTAACTCCAACCTGTGGGTGCCTTGCCACACTCCTGGTCAGGCTGTGGAGCATCTTCCTTCCCATGAGAGGGCAGCAGCTGCCTGCAAGAGCTGTCACTTCCCTCCATCCTCGCTGCTGAAACTGGCTGATAAAGCTGCTTTCCATGCAAAATAGTTGTGACTTTGGTTCAAATACCATAATTTGCAGAATCTTCAATCACCTACACTTAACCTTCACAGCACCTGAATGGCCCTGTGCTGTTTCTCTTTTATTTTTTTATGCAAAAAATCTGCAAAACTATGCAGCATGACAGCAACCTCCTGTGATAACGCCATGGACTGACTCACCATAATGTAGAATCCAGTCCAACCTTTCCAACACTTTACCAAATGACTAGGTGATAGAAGAGTAGATAGAATAGAATTGGATTTATTTAAGTTAGAAGTGAATCTTTCCTGAAGAGTTCCACAAGGATGATGCACACATCCATGTTTTTCTCGAAAGCACTTCAGGAGGCACTGGAAACAAGCAGGCCTAAGGCTGAACAAGCTTCTCCCTGCTCAGTGCCCAAATAGTGGGACTCTGCTTGAAAAGAGTCTTCACAAATATGTGATACAGCAGAAGCCTTAAGCATATATCTGATTTTAACCATGTGAAAACACGTGCCCAACATTTGGCACCCAGCACGATGCTCTGCTGAGTTAGGAGGGGAGCTCACATTTCAATATCGGCTTCCAATAAAGTTCAGCGGTTCATTTAGATCCAATGCTGTCAACTGTAAAACCTGCTCTCTGAACAAAAACCAAGACAAATTCTCCATGAATCCTAAAGAGACCAGCAGTACCTTTTTCACAGAAGGTTCCTGTCCAGCCCGCCGCGCAGGTGCAGGCTCCGCTGACGTGGTCGCAGGCAGCTCCGTTCTGGCACGGACAGCTGGACTCACAGCCCGGGCCAAAGCTCCCCTCGGGGCACCCTACAGCACAGGAACCACAACCAGAGCATGGGTTAATGCCAGAGCAGATCAGGGATCAATGGGGAATTTTTACATGCACGGGAAATCTGACTATTTCCAAAATAATCAAGGCGTAAAGGTAATGGATTAAAAGTAAGATCTGAGTGTCCCCCCTGAGGTTCAGGTAAGTTGGGCTACAGTCAAGATCTATTTTAGAAAAATTCCAGAGTGCTGAGAGACTAAATTCTGCACAGAAAATGAACACCTTCTATTGCAAAGCCTGAAACTTCACAGGTTCTGCATGATGACACTTTGCCCACTGGTCTGGAGTTGCTTATGTGCACATCTCTGGGACTTCATCAGCTGGGAGAGGAGAAGCTCCTCTGTTTTCCTGCAAATCCTCTTTCCCCAGAAAGCTGGAGAAAATATGAAATGTGTTGGTTGCCTTCACAAAGCTCCAAATTGAATGCTGCACACTTTACTTTCATGCTCTGCTTTGAAAGATTCAAGTGAAAACATTACATCTGCGGGACAGATTAACAATTACATTTCCACAGCAGTTAATGTGAGGAGTTTTAAAAGATTTGCATGGTACTAACTATCAGCAGAAAGAAAATATTTGAGAATGAAAATAATTTCTTCCAGGATTATAGGAAAATCAATTAAGACCAGGGCCAGTTGCCTAATTCGCATTGGATATTTTGGACAGGCTGAAACACAGAGATAGACTTGGCTAAATACAATATTACAGGGCCTCTACTCATGTTTGAAGGTCTTGTGAACATCCCTCTAAACGAGTTATGGAGATTACTGCCAGATCTCTTCTAGAAGTCTATGATTTTAGCATTTACAGCTACAAAGTGATTTTCAGGCAATCTGGAAGGAATCAGAGAGAACAGAAAACAAGAATCCTCAAAACCAGCTCCATGTCTGGAATAGGGGGGTGGGTTTGGTGCTGTTTGTTTGGTGCCATGGGTGGGCAGTGATTGGAGCTGGCAGGAATTCAGCTGCTCCTGCAGCTCAGTGACTCTGCCAACTGTGTGTCTTACAGAGGAGCTGGGAGAAGAGAAAGGTACCTTAAGTATTTCTTGGCTTTCAAAGAGTCAAAAAATGGGATATTGTTTAAATGTAAGTTAGAATCAATTTTTTTGCACTTACAGGTGAAATCCCTTCCTCTTCCCAAAGATGCACATCACTGTTTAACAAATAAATACATAGAGGTGCACTTGTGCCTTAAAAGCCTGATCCTTCTCCATGTTTCCCTTTCAGCTGAAATTTCAGTCAGAGAATCTGTGCAAGGGAAATGGTGCTGCAGTGCAGCAAGAGGTGTGGGGCTCTCAGCAGAGCTCCCTTCAGGTGTTTAGCCCAGAGCTGAGGCTTTTCAAGGTGATGGCAAAGGGTCAGAGCACTTCACAAATGATTTCACAGTCCACAGCACAGAGAATCTGCCCCTGCTCCAGCAGGCACAGGCTGCTGTGATGCGTGTCAGGATCCAGCCACCCCGACAGAGAACTGAGCTCCTGCCAGGGGAAGGAGCCCAGCCTGCAGGGAGAAGAAAGGGATGCCTGGGGAGCAGAGGAAATATCCAGGGACAGTGAGGATTTCACCTCCAAAGCAGCATAAAATTATGGGAAGAACTATGGTTTTCATAATCTTGTGGGCACACATACACATATATATATATGTGCAATTTGAAACATATATATATATACACACAAACACAAAGGGATAAAAAGCAGACTAAATACAACAGAAAGCCCACAGATAGAACTTTAAGAACTGCCTGATGTTTTGTCAGTGGCGATGGCTTCACTGATTCCCTTCGCAGCGAGGATTACAAGCAGCTATTTGGCCACTCTGTCTCTGCATAGATGCTATTTTGAGAGAGATCAAGAGTGAAAGAGAAGCAGAGCTGGCAGCTCCTTCTCTGGGAGCTGGTCCTCCCCACACACTGTCCTTCCATTCCCTCTGTGCCAACAGCAACAAGGGCTGCATGATCAACTTTCCAGGCTTTCTTGTCTTAGGTCACGGTTCCAGATTAATTGTTTTGACATTTCTGTGTGACACCAGCAGTTAATCCTGCCCACGCTACTGAGGCTCTGGTAGCTACATCTGCGCTACTGTAAGATTGTTAAACTAGTAGATAAAATGTTTGTTTTATTTAACAACATCAATATAATCAATAATAATAGTAATAGCAGCTTAACTATGCAACTTACTGCCACAAGATGAAGTGGATTCCAAATGCTTGCATGAAATGAAAAAGAAAATAGGCACATTAATTGGAAAAAAAATTAAATCAAGCAGTATTAAATATAGAGATATTGCTTCTGTCTCATGGAGCTCCTGAATAAGAAATTGATGGTACCTGGGGAAACATATGAGAAATTGACTATGAGCCTGTTTTCATATGCGTGAAGCATCTGTGACTGACCTCAGTTAGAGGTGAATGTTAAGGTGAGGGTCACGGGCCTCTGATAACACCATTGCACATTTTTGTTTTTAATAAATACAGGACTCCAAAAAATCCTGGTTTTCCTTCTGTTATGTACATGTGAAGCATTTCTATGTGCCTGACCTGAAATAGAGATTTACGAAGGGTAAGTGCTGCCCTAAAACTGAATAAATAAAACCAATACGGAAACTCTTAGGCCACAACCCAAACACACATCAATCCTATCCCTCTCAAGAGATCCTAACACTAAAAATAGCTGCTGGGTCCAAAACAAGGCTGAAAATACCTTTTCTGGAAATCCAATTAGGCAAAGCATCTAACCCCGGTGAAACGCGAGAGCGCGGCGCGGGGCACAGCGGGGGCGGAACAGCCTGGGAGCGTTCCTGCGGGGAACGAGCAGGAAAACACAACTTCCAGGGATGTGGGAGCAGGGGTTTGAGAGGCAGGCACTTACTGAGCTGGCAGTGCTGCCCGGTGAACCCTGGCTGGCAGGAGCAGGTGCCCGTGGCGGGGTCGCAGCCGCCGTCGCCGCCGTCGCAGGCGCAGGAGTTGGCGCAGTCCCGGCCCCAGCGGCCGCTGCTGCAGGCTGCCAAGGGAAGCGGGGTCACATCCAGCACCACCCCAAAACCCTGCTGCACATCCATGTGAGAGAACACAGAATACACAAAATTCTACAGGACTGAACTCCCGGCTGCACCACAGGTGCAAATTGTGGAAATGAAGACTGGTTTTGCTGGTCCCTTTCAGCTGGAAACAGGCAGATATTGTCTCATCCACATAAAACTAATTATTTGAAGTCATAAAACTAATAATTCATTATCTGGCCCAAGGGAAATTTAGGTTAGATGTTAGGAAAAGTTTTTACTGAAAGAATGTGTCCTGGTTTAGGACAAATTTGGGAGAGAACCTTCGGAGGGTTCCTCTAGAAAGCAGATTCAAGCGGCACATTCAAGTGACTGAAGAGTGACAAAGATATTGCTCTTATCTTTATCCAGAGTGATAAAGTTCTGGAACCATCTGCCCAGGGAGGTGGTGGAATTACCACCCCTGGGTGGGTTTAAAAAAAGAGTGGGTGTGGCACTCGGTGCCATGGTTTAGTTGAGGTGGTGTTAAGGCATGGGTTGGACTTGGTGATCTTAAAGGTCCCTTCCAACCTGGTGATGCTGTGAACCCACACCCATCAGTCACAAATTTATGATTTCATGGAAATAAAATCTCAGCTATTGACTCACTCACTGAAAATCTGCATAACCAGAATTAGCTAATGGGTTTAACCAGACAGATTTGGGAGCATCCTCCTTGCTTTCCCCCAAATACTGGGAAATGCAGCATGGACACAAAGGAATCTCACAATGTTTGTTAAAGCAACTTACTGCTTTCATCCTAAAATCGCACAGCACTGACACAATTACACCAATGTACCACAAAATGTCCTTTCTTTTGAGTAAAGGATGAAGATGAAAGTGCCAATTAGGGCAACAGAAACCTGGTTTTGGAGTTGGGAATCTGTTTAATGCCTGGTCTGCAATAGCTGGAGGAGCTGCTGTACCAAGATACCACTGCAAAACAATTTTCCTCAGATCTTATCCTGAATAGAAATAAAAGCTTTCCTTTGTCATGGTCTCACAATTCTCTAGACAGCTCAGGGAGTTGTGAAAAGCCATCCCAGTGGCTCTACACACTACCAACTGGCTTGATTTTTAAAATATGCATATGGGTGGAAACTTCAGATTTTCCCAGCATTTTCTTCAGTACAGAGCCTGAGAAGTCAGGTGCAAAACTTGCTGCTATCAACACTGCCAATTCAATGACTTTATGTGTTTAAGACCAAGTTTAGAGAGAGGCTTGTCTCTGTTGGTTTTTTGCAAGAGGCATCACAATGAATCAAGCAGAAGAGATGTGTCACAGGAAAAGAGAGGATGGCTTCACATTTATATGGTGCCATCCAAAAAGGGCAAATCTACTCTCTCACACAGCCACCAATATGGAGAGCAATGCTAAAGTCAACAGAAGGATGCTCTGCTCTTCCACAGAACAGAAATTTTCACAGCATTTATATTCCCAAGTTAAAAAGTGACCTTTAGACACACGACTGTACATGCCACTCACTTGTTGAATAAATCTCCCCTAAACAAAATGAGAAATGGAAAATTAATCTCAAAACTAATCTGCACTGAAAATGAAAAACAAAACTGTCTGTCAGTCAAAATGCTGACAGGACAGATGGTATTGGGCAAAGGGATCCATAGTGTTGAAATAAGAGCTTATATCAATACTTTGCGCTTCATCAGCCATCTATTTCAATGCTTTGAACCTGGATAATGAAGGATTATAACCACCCAGGCTGTGCAAACCCACAAACACACCGTTTGAGAAGCAGTAAGATTAGCAAAACTATATTAAAAAACTGTAATAAACTAAGAGCAAACAGAGCAGGTCCCCAGGAGGCGCCGTGTGCCCTGACTTACGGTGCTTGCAGTCGTGGCCAGTCCAGCCCGGGGGACAGCAGCACTCCCCGGTGACGTGGTGACACTGAGCACTGCTGCCACAACTGCACAGCCACAGGCAGCCCTGCCCACAGTGCCCATCAGGGCAGGCTGCAAACAGAGACAGGCTGGGACTTCACCCAGATCACAAAGCCTGGCCACAGGCAGCCACAGCTCACCCCCCAAAAATGGCTTCAGCTGAATCCAGGAGTCAAAACAGCAACACTGAAATATCTGGGATCCCCACCCTGGGCATCTGGGGCTGAGTCCTGGAATGTGGGAACAGCCTGGGTACTCCTGTGCATCAGGCTGTTTCCTCAGAGGAGAAAAACCTTCCTCAAAAGCCATTTTATGACTAACAAGAATTAAAAACGTGCCACCACCAAGGTTTGCACAAAGCAGAGCTGTTCTGAGAGTCTCTGTGCAGCTCAACAGCCACACTCAGGCAGCCTTTTAACACCCAGAGGCTGAAGAGCAGCACAGAACAGTTCCCTGAACTGCTCCCATGGTGTCTGCCTGCAGGGATAGCACTGACACTGCTCCCTCATCTTCAGTATTATTTAATCCTAAATGATCTACACCAAGGAGTGCTGCTGCAAACATAACTCAAGAATGATGGCAACATGGGCCAGCTGGTCACACCTCTTGCCAGACAGCCAGGATTACAGCACCAGTGGTGTGGCTGTTAAAGACTGCATTTCCAAGTACAGCTTGCCATAAATTAGGTCTAATGATAACATCCATTTGGGATGCAGCTTAGCTGATCACGTGCATTTATCTGCAATCTGCCTCCCACAAATAATGTCAAATCCAACCTGGGGAATTCCTGGAGATGAAGGGCACTTAATCTCAGATCAGCGTGCTTTATCTCACACAAGAGTAAGAAGGCAGAAATCAGACCATAACGTGAATTTTCAATCTGACTTTCTTTTCCTGGGGAAGGCTGAGGCAAGGACTTACTGTCAGAGCAGGATGGCCCAGTGTAGCCAGGGGCACAGTCACAGGCTCCAGTTTCCCTGTTGCACTGTCCCCCATTGGCACAGGGCTCGCAGGAGTTCTGGCAGTCTGGTCCCCATTGACCATCTGGGCAATCTGCAGAAAAAGCACATGAGGTGTAACCAGCTCCATTTGCTGTTTCAGGACAGCTGTAGATTTCTGCTGTTACCCTGAAGAATTTAAAAATAATAGTAAAACTGAGCAGGATTGTGACATTATATAGTTATACACCCCTGTCAGCCTAGTCATTAAACTGCAGCACACAAGAACACAGCTAAAGAGAGACCAAAGGCTCTCTCCCAATTTCCATCACAGTTTGTTTGTTTATTGGTTTGAGAAACAGCCAAATTCTACTTCCCATCACGTATTCCAAAGCCAGGCACTCCCTACCTTGCTCCAGTACCTCACACACCTTGCTCACATGTAGCACCAGTCTTCCCAGCTGGGCAAACACACTGCCCTGTCCTCGGGTCACAGGGGGCTCCTCCACAGCTGCACCTCTGCCTGCAGCCCATCCCGAAGCTGCCAGGCTGACAAGCTGCACAAAAAACCCCAAAGTCATGGTTAGGAACATTTTGAAGACGTGAGGAGGCACCACGGCCACCAATTTCCAACTGAGCTGTGCTGGTAGAAGTGATCAGTGTTAGCAGTACAGTCTGAGCAACTGGTGGTCTGAAATGAACTGCAGCAGAGCACTGCAAAGTCTGTGCCTGAAGCTTTCAAAGCAACTATTGTTACCTGGGCAAATGTTAGTTTGGGTAACTGGCCTCAGCCTTGTGCCTTGACCTTTGCAGGGAGAGAGAGAGAAAGAGAGACAGCATTTGCCAGGCTCCAAATATCAGTCTGGTTTCAGTGGGGAACTGTCAGCTCAAATCAACAACAAATGTACCTGTTTATCTGCAGCTTCTATATCTGAACCTAAGTTTCCTGAATCAGCTTTCCCATCCCAAGGGTATCTCCCAGGGAAACATGTAGTGAGTACCTACACAAATGGCATTTTTCTCCATGAAACCCAGCTGGACACGGATGTTTGCAGGCTCCTGTCTCAGGATCACACAGAACATCAGGAGGACAGCTGCACCTCAGTTTGCAACCAGCCCCATAAAACCCTGGGGTGCACTCTGGAAATAGAAGCAGATACAGAACATGCATAAGAAAAAGGAAAAGTTAAGAGAAGTGGACAAAAATCAGAAAATAATTTGGCAGAAACTTGCAGAGAATATATTACAATGTACATTTTAGAGGTGTTGCTAACAAAGGGTAAATAGTTAAAAAATGCTTACATTTCAAAGAGGTTACTGCTTAAATGTAACCTAGAAACAGAGTGGCAGAATGCTTAAAGATTTATTCAATTAGAATACTTGAGGATGTATTCAATTAAATACATGATGGAATTCTCTTCTTTGATGTCTAAGTTCTGCTGCTCTCTGCCTTGGTACACAGCCAGTGCTGGGCAAGGCATGCTCCCTGTCAGAATTCAGCCCATCAACAACAATGATAAAAATATTAAATATTGTCATTATTGCTCTCCACCAAACCCACCAGAATTACTGCCATAAATCCAACACAGTCCTGCCTGGCCAGAGAAAAATCTGAAGGGAGAATCTTTATTGTGTTACTCCACTGCTGTCTGGAAAGGGCTACTGAGACATGCAAACATGAATGCAGGATACAATTCTCTTTGAACTACCCCCAAAAACTACAAAGAGTAAGTTGAATTCAAAGAGCTGCAAATCTGAAGGAAAAGCAGCATTACTGAACCTGTTTACAAATCACCCCACTGCCATAAAACACAGATTTTGCCACTTTACTGACTGTGTCAAAAAAGCACAGAAATGAAAACTCACATGATTTTCATTACTTAAGGTTCTATTAGGATTTAGGTTCTGGATTTCTGTTGTCATTTGACCAGGTCAAACTCCTTCAGTTCCTGAGCTCTATTCCCCTCAGTGTCCCTGCAAGCCTAGCAGGGTTCAAACCCCACAAAACCACTAGTAGGATAGGAATATATGAGTAGCAGCAGCCAAACAAAGCCAATGGGTGGAAGAGGGAGAAGTTGCTGGGACAAAGGCACGGCAGATGTGGGGTCCTGGCTGTGGGTGGTACCTTTGTGGCACTTCTTGCCGTGGTATCCAGGCTGGCAGGTGCAGGAGCCGTCCCTGGGGCTGCACTCCAGCGTGTGCTCCTTCACACACTGACACTCCTCCGAGCAGCCCGCGCCAAAGGCCCACCTGGGACAGGCTGCAGCCACAAGGAAAGGAAGCATCAGCTCTGTAATTGTGCAGGAGCTGGCTGAAACTGCACACTGCTGCAGAACACAACTGCTGCAGAAGCAAAACCTCGGTTCTGCTTTCAGCCAGCACACCCCCGTTCCACAGCAGCACCTGTTCATGTGTGGGTGGGTAAGAGAAGAGTTTACATGATCCCTATGCTGGGTCATTCATTTCATGTCAAGCAATACGTGGTGAATGCAAGAAACATTTCAAAGCAAACTCAGCTGTTTTTCCGAATGAAAAAAAACTTGGGTGTGCTCCAAGACAAAAGCTTTTATTATAAAACCCAAAACAAAACTAAACAAAAGATTTTTGATCTTGCACAGATTTTACAAACAAAATCTGTAAGTACAAAGAAACTTGATCATCTATGTTGTAGTTTTTGTTTTAATTCTTTTTATTATAATGTCTGATCCTTATCCTGTCCCAGCCAGCCCTGCTCTCCAGTTCCCACTCCAACACATCAGCAGTCACCAATCAGCTCCAACCAGATTCCACCCTCAGCAATAACCCTAATGTTAACCTGTCCACCCCACCTATAATCTTCACCTTTGAGCATCAGTAAATCTCAATACTTATGGCAAAGATTAATGAGTAAAGAAAAAGATTAATGAAGATTCTGGGGCCTCCTGGCACATTTCAAAAGTCCTGTCCAAAATCTTGATCATTTTATCACAGAAGGGTTTGGGTTGGAAGGTCCCATAAAGCCCATCTTTTTCCACCCCTGTTCCATGGCAGGGACATCTTCCACTGTCCCAGGATGCTCCAAGCCCTGTCCAGCCTGGTCTTGGGCACTGCCAGGGATCAGGGGCAGCCACAGCTTCTCTGGGCACCCTGTGCCAGGGCCTGCCCACCCTCACAGCAAAGAACATTTTTCTAACATCTAAGCTAAACCTGCATTGTTTTAGTAAATCCATTCCTCCTTGTCCTAGCACTGCCTGACTGCGCATAAAGTCATTCTCCTTGCTTTCTGCCTGCCCCCTTTAGGTTATGTGGAATCTTTTACAGACTGTCCTACTGTGCACACATTGAGCAGATCCCAAAAATGCCAGGGACTTACTGAGGTGGCAGAAGCGGCCGTAGAGCCCGGGGTCACACAGGCAGGCTCCATACAGTCTGTGGCAGTGGCCCTTGTTGGCACAGTTGCATGGCTTGTTGCAGTTCTTCCCAAAGAAACCTTTTGGGCAACCTTTGGAGTGCACAAACACAGGAAGGCATCAGTGGCTACAGGTCCAAGCCCCAAACCCAAAGCAGCTTGTGGCTGAGCTGGGGCTCTGCGCAGCCTCACCGCTACTGGCTTGTCTCACCCTCTGTTCTGCTCATTACTTAAAAAGGGATCGGGGGGGGAAAGTGGGGAGTTGAGGCAGAGCTGGAGCCATACCATCCTCGCAGAGCTGGCCCAGCACACCGGGAGGGCAGTGGCACTGCCCTGTGCCAGGGTCACACCAGCCTCCGTTCTGGCACCTGCAGACACCGGCGCATCCTCTGCCGAACGTGCCGGGGGGACAGGCTGTGGAGAGAGCAGGGAGTGTGAGCACTGCAAGAAACACTCCCCCTCTGCTGTAAGGGAAGCAAAACAAGGCTCTGGCACTGAGAAGGGCAGCAAGGCTGATGGAGGGTCTGGGACACAAGTGTGTGAGGAGCAGCTGAGGGTGTTCAGCCTGGAGAACTCATGGAGACCTCACTGCTCCTTACAACTCCCTCAAAGGAGGGTGCAGCCAGGTGGGGGTGCATCTTGTCTCCCAGGCAGCCAGCAACAGGGCAAGAGCACACAACCTTAAGCTGCACCAGGGGAGATTCAGGTCTGACATCAAGAGGAATTTCCTCACATTGAGCATGACTGGGCATTGGAATGGGTTGCCCTGCTAAGTAGTGGAGTCTCCATCCCTGGAGGTGTTTAAGAAAAGACTGGGTGTGGCACTCAGTGCCATGGGCTGGTTGAGAAGGTGTTATTGGGTCAGAGGATGGACTCGATTGCAAAGGTCTTTTCCAGCCTAATTGTTTCTGTGATTCTGTGAAGACTGAGCAAGGACAGAGTTTTAGTTGAGCAGGCTCTAAAAAAGTCATATTCTTCTGTAAAGGACATCCATCTGATATTTACTAGGACATCTCAAAGGACACTGAATTAACCAAGTTTTGGGAAGTACTGTCATGTATCCAACCCTCCCCAGAACATGCTGCCCTCCCCACAAAGCACAGGCTCAAAAACCATTGCCTGTCAAGCCCAAAGCTCAAACATCAGAGCACAGCTTGGAACACTTGGAGAGAAATATTTTAAACATTCTTTTTTTCTCTCCCAAACACTATTATAAAAATAATACCTTGTTTTTCAAACGTAGTTTCTGAAACTCCCCAGGTAATCATGGCAGCAATGGATCCACAACAGCAAAAACAAACTGTGAGATGCAGCCTTGCTCTGCTGTTTGCAGCCTGAGTGGATACAGTTGCTGGAGTCATCTGACTTCACTGACGTTTTATCAATGTACATTAAGAAAGTTGACATTCCACATCAATTTCCATTCGGCTTCTTTAGTGCATTATTAGAAAAATTTAGTTCCAGTTTTCTCCACTGTTTTAGCTTACCCTAAACCTGCTCACCCTAAACCCATGAATTGTGCTGTATATTAAAAAATGCAAGAGAAAAGAGTGAAAGTAATCACACATGAGTAATTAACACAGATTAGATACTGTGTTTATCACTGTCCCTGCTGACTTCATCAGACAGCAGGTTTAGCTCAACAACACAGTCCTATTAAAGTTCTTTAAATTCCAGAGGTGAATTCCATTAGACTACATGCATGGATGTCTAGTGCAAATATACATAATAAATTTTATTATTTATGAAATGAACTAAAGAATTTGGATACTGCCTTGAAATTTTTATAATCTATCCTGAACTACCAGCACACCAGGGACAGAAGTAAGAATATATCCTCACTTGATAGCTTGAACTGTCATAGACAGACTGGAAATTATCCTTTTAATCCTCCCCATTCCTACTCTCTTAGCTGCCCCCAGAGTTTACAAACCAAACCCACCATCAGTCTCCCAAAATAACCACAGGCAGACTGCTGGTTTCAATCACTTGCTTGATTTTTCTGCATTTCTGTCCATGTGATGATGTCTCCAAAACAATCTTGATGGCAATTAACCTGAAGAGTGCTGTCTACTGATGTCAAGTAATAAATTTTCATCGACTTTTTGTCTCACCAGTGACAGCAAAGACTTTCTGAGAATGATGGGCCATCATGTCACACACCACGAAATGGAGGGACCCATCTCAAAGAGGAAATCTGCTGTATGATGTCTCAGACAAGCAGCAGACAAGTTTTGCCAAACTGCAGATGAAGAACAGCACATCAAGAAATCACCACTCTCTTTCCTATGGGTTTTGACATCTACTTCTGAATCAGAAAGATCTTCTGCCAGGAAACAGGAGCAAGAAGACTGAAAACCTGTTATAAAGGGCACTGACTTGGCAAGAGAATTCTGAAAAATACCATTTCCAATGTGAAAAATTAACTGCTCCAAGAAAGTGATGCTAATAATAAAAAGAATTATAAGGAAAAAGAAATGGAAAACATAAGAAAAAAAATTTAAAGGCAATGTCTTGGGGTGCTACAATGGAAAAACTCAATTTTAGCATACGTGTCCACCCAGGCTGTCACACCAACTTCTGGGACAGACTTCTGGAGTCACCAAGGCAGGTTATGGAACAAAGCATGGCCAGCAAACTTTGGCAGCTTTTAGCAGCAGAGCAAATAGGAATGAACAACCACCAAATACTCAGGACAGGGATGATTCTGTCCCGACCTCCACTGGAGCGCAGGGACCTCTGTGTACTGCGGCATCACTTACAGCTCCTATGTACCGTGCCCCAGCACAACAAATCTGGTTATGAGACAGCAGTGCTCCTTCAGGAGCCTCCCAGATGAGCAGCACAAGAGGTTCCTCTCACTGCCCACCTGCAGAGGCCCTGCAGGAGGATCAGCCCCCTGCCAGCCCTGTACTCACTCTCGTTGCAGACGAGCCCAGCCCGGCCGGG